TAATAAACAAATTTGTAATAAAATATGATGAGATGATTGTATTTTAGTAATTATTTATATATATATATATATATATATATAATCTGATATCTTATAAAATTAGATAACTGTTAAAATATTAAGCATTAATTATTATTTTGAAGTATTTGCACAAACAAATTTGAAATCAAGAGTGGTCGAGGATAATTGTTTTTTTTATTGCTACTTGTATTAATTTCATGTCCTCATTATTTTTGTACAGTGAAGATAATTTTTATTTTCTGTCTTTTTTTTCTTCATTTAGCGACCGCACTTGCACGGTCATCAATGTTGAAGGCGACGCCTACGGAGCAGGTCTTCTGCAGTATTTCGTGGACCGCACTTCCAGTAAAGAGGGGGCGGAGCTAAATAAAGTGCGAGTGGAGGAAGAAGACCCCGTTTCCAGGCCAGAAAGTTCTCCGCTCATCGAAAAACAGGGAAACCTTGAATTGGAAGAGGTCGCTGGCCCGAAACACTGTGAAAAGGAGTCCGCCATGTAGACTTGCACAATATTTCAACAAACTTTCCTTCCCGACCTGTCTGATCTCACTAAATCAATCTCTGCATCCACACAGTGACCATGAGAGAGATACAGGTTTAGATTAAGACAGGACAAAGACTACATCCTTTTGACCCTCCTCTATGCCCAGCTCTTTATGAAAGGAGTCTGCCAAAACGTATGCACATTTAGATGGAAAAATGCTTGAACAATTATTTATTAGATGCTGGTCAGACATTTTGGATTTTTTCTCTTTTTTTATATTTGCTTTACTCCTTTTATAAAAAAAAAAAAAAAAAAAAAAAAGAGCAGCGGATGATGTTAAATCCATTTACGAGATACATATCTGAGGAAAAATGTATTGTTGGTCGGCGCCACCTAGCGTGCAGGCGTGAATTAGCAGAAGGCGAACAATCGTTTCGCGTTCGGTGTGAAAGAACCGTTCGTCGGCGATTCGCTTCGCTTTTTCGCATCGCGCTCAGTGTGGAAAGGCCTTGACATTGTGTTAATACAACAGCTTTTTTAAATAAAGCTTGTATTAATTTTATGTCCTCAATTTTTTTTTGTACAGTGAAGATAATTTTTTTTTGTTTTCTATATTTCTTCATTTAGCGACCGTACTTGCACCGTCATCAATGTTGAAGGCGACGCCTACGGAGCAGGTCTTCTGCAGTATTTCGTGGACCGCACTTCCAGTAAAGAGGGGGCGGAGCTAAATAAAGTGCGAGTGGAGGAAGAAGACCCCGTTTCCAGGCCAGAAAGTTCTCCGCTCATCGAAAAACAGGGAAACCTTGAATTGGAAGAGGTCGCTGGCCCGAAACACTGTGAAAAGGAGTCCGCCATGTAGACTTGCACAATATTTCAACAAACTTTCCTTCCCGACCTGTCTGATCTCACTAAATCAATCTCTGCATCCACACAGTGACCATGAGAGAGATACAGGTTTAGATTAAGACAGGACAAAGACTACATCCTTTTGACCCTCCTCTATGCCCAGCTCTTTATGAAAGGAGTCTGCCAAAACGTATGCACATTTAGATGGAAAAATGCTTGAACAATTATTTATTAGATGCTGGTCAGACATTTTGGATTTTTTCTCTTTTTTTATATTTGCTTTACTCCTTTTATAAAAAAAAAAAACTCAGTCCGGCCTTTTAAAATAATCTATTTATATTACTATTATTATTACACATGCCCTAATAGTTCTGATTATATGCTATTGAGTTAAACCTCAGAACACCTTTTTCATGCAAAACATCTAATAAGCCAAAGCATCCGCAGAATCGGCTTTATGGTCCGTTATGCTGAAATACCTCATTCATGCTGATTCCCTTTATACCACCTCAGGCTCCTCAGATGTAGGTCCATCTAACAGGTGCTAATACCTTCACTAAACTTGCTACTAGAGGAGCCAAAAGAATGGTGTAGGAAGCCTGACTGACAGTCAAGAGACAACATCTTACCTTCTGCGTCTTTGTCTTTATGCAGTCACCATTACATTTCACGGCAGGCTCTTTGGGGTCAAGTTGTATCCTAAGGTCAGACAGGAACGTAAGCACAATGATATATGGGTCACATGCAAAGTACTCCTCGTCTTAAAGCTCCGAGACTGTTTGGGTAAGAGCCTTGAAGCCTGCAGGTGAGGGAGTTCCCTATGTGGAAGTTGATAAGCAGCTGAGGTCAAGAGGTGTAAACAGATCCGTTTAAGAAGAAAGCCATAGATTAGAGCAGCGGTTCCCAACCCTGGTCCTGGAGGCACCCCAACACTGTACATTTTGCATGTCTCCTTTCTCTGACACACCAATTTCAGGTCTTGGAGTCTCTACTAATGAGCTGATGACCTGAATCAGGTGAGTTTGATTAAGGAGACATTTAAAACGTGTAGTGTTGGGGTGCCTCCAGGACCAGGGTTGGGAACCACTGGATTAGAGCATGAATCAAGACTGGAACTGAGATTTTTTTTTTTATTTTGTATTCAAGCTAGAATAAGGAACATGTGTAGGAACATGTTGGATGTGTTAAAATGTTTGGCTTCTGTCTCTTTTTTTAAATTTATTTTTTTGTGTCAATAGTATCAATTTTGTTTGCATTTTGAAAGTGTACTTCTGAGATCTTTTTTTTTTCTGTGTATTATTGCAGAATAGCACACATAAAATGCCTGCCATTTTCTAAAGATAGTTAACTTTACGAGGAGATATCAGGCAGAGTATTCTGTTAACACCATTAACTGGTGAATGTTTAACTGTAACTAGTAGTTGAACTGGATTACTTATTCAGTTTATATATATATATATATAATGTATATATATAAATGTATAACCTAAACACACCAGCAGAACGAAGGTATCGGGTGACAGGGTGAGAGACAATTGCCATTGTACTGTATGTTGACCAAATGTTTGTCACAGTGATGAGAAGAAAGACTTAATAGGCCATTTTTGTAGAAATCAGTTTGACTTCTAGTTGATCGATGAAAGGTTAAATCTGACCAAAGAAACATTTCTCATTTTTTATATTAATTTAACAACATATATTCTTAAAATATGGGGTTTTGGTGCTTGTAATCTGCATAATTAACAGTCTCTCATTTCTGTTCTGTTTTACGCTCAAGTTGTATTTCAAATCACAGGTGTATTATTTCAAATCTCACAGATGTTCTGCATGACTGACATCACTCCTTTAAAAGCCAGTACTGTAAAGGCTTCTCATTCCAGGCGGCTGTAGCGTAGTCTGTGTGCGAGTTTAATGTGTGGTTGTGTCATAAATGGGCTGCTTGATGCCAAAGAGTACGGTTAAGAAAACTAGTGAATGTACTCCACACAGACTGTAGAATAAAGTCTTTTTTAAATAAATCAGCAGTGATGTCCTCTTTATTATGAATTCAAGTTGTTAAAATGAGGTAAGCATTGAGTCCCAGAAGATTTTGTAACTAGGATAACTGAACCACTTGTTTGGTTATCATATTTATATCATGTTTATTATACAGCTCTCTGGTGTACTGTGGTTAATTGTGGCCTTCTGTGCTTAGACATTTTATACAATGGTTGCTGGTTTCCTACATAGCTGTGCTAGTTTCACATCTCATATCGCGCAATATTCAACTCAAACTGAAATGTTATGACTCGAATTAAGTAAGTGCGTTCATTTATTTGGCAAGGGGCCGTTTAATAAGCAAGATACTGTATAGTCAGCAGTTAGTATTGCGAAATACACGCCTTTAGGGCGATGCAAGACTTGGTTTCACAAGATACCAGCAGACCTCTTATATCTGTTTGATTAAGTCAGAATGAATTATCAGATCCTGAAGACTTAAAATGCACCGCTGTAAACAAAAGCCACTTTTTTTAGGGAGGCTTTGAAGGTTTGCGCAGTAATGATACTGTATAAACTGGGTAGCATTGCAGTAACAAAGTCCAGCATGTTTGAAGACTTCATGTCCTATTGCGCCACCTTGTGGTTTATGTAACTGTAATATTTACAATAAAAACTCTAAAAGTAATTCTGTGTGATGGTTTATTTCCAGACATCTGAAATACACTGAAATATTAAGTCTCAGTTTGGAGTTATGCTGTTTGTTAAATATTTGGTGGTCGTAATGACCATTTACATAATGAACATTACATAGTATATTTGTGAACCACCAAGACAAAACAAAAAACTAAACAAAAATGAGTTACATTAAAACAAAATTGAGGTCAAACAGTCGACAGTCAAAACAATTCAAAACATCAAAAGTACAGTTATTATCATGCAACATGGTGAAAATATCATTAATAAAGTGAATGTGCATAAAACAGTAGCTTCTTTTCACTGGCTTTTTTATCTAACCTTTTCCATTTACAACCATTTACACAAGAAAACCATTTCAGATAAAAAATAAAAAAAACATTACAGCCTCTTTCAACATCAGCGTACACCAGTGTCACCACATGTCAACAAAAACATCCTACACTCTACAAAGTTCATGGTGGTATAATAATGACCATTAAGTTGAAAAGCAGTGAAGTCCTTTCAAGGTTTTAATGAGCTGCCTGGGTTGTTAATTAAATGCTTCACTTGTGGACCTACAAACATGAATCAGATTTCCATATGCCAGCACTTACTGTAAATGATGCACTAATGCAATAAGCGATATAGGCTCTTTAAAACTGGTGTTTGTCTGGCAGTCAGTTTAAAAATCTAACGTTTGTTCAGTGTTTAATTGGGTTGCACTTTATTTTAAGGTGTCCTTGTTACAGTGTAATTACACATTTAAGTACTGTGTAATATTAATTAACAACATGTACTTACTATATGGTTAGGTTTAGGATTAGGCTTAGGGTTACTTGCATGTAATTATGTATAATGTATTGTTATTATAATAGTAGGTACATGTAACATGTAACAAGGACACCTTAAAATAAAATGTTACCTTTAATAGCTACAGAAACTGATATATTAATGTTCATGTATTACAGAAAAAAAAAAGATTTGACCGTTGTTTGTGAATTCCTGGGATGCTGCAGTGTGAAATATTACATCCTTAGATTTTAGAACTTTTATTACCACTGTTACATACAGTATATTTAGACTACTTTTGGGACTCATGACTCCCCAAACCACAACACACATACAATAAATAAAATCGGCAAGAAATGCGAACGTTCAAGTGATCGGACACAGTTCAAAACCTTCAGTCTGATAGTAATACTCTACAAAGTTTAAAATGTCAGAAATGCAACAAATGCAGTGTTGTGGAATTGTGGCACATCGAGTTACTGCTCGTTACGGTCCTAACGTGCGACTCCTGTCCAGTCTTTTCTTGGCAGGGTTCGGATACTGGGGATTCTCAATAACCCCTTCCCCAAACTTGAGTTCCAAGAAGGCACGGTGGTTGTTCGGACCATAAGCGGTGATGCCGGCGAACTGCATTGGCACCAGGGGTTGCAAAAAATGCTCTGGGAACTCCACGTCTTGTTTGTGCTCAGTCCAAGTGTCCTTGGTCATAACTCCATTGCGGGGGTAGAAGGGCCACAAGTCCACATGCAAATGGTTGGCTTCACTATACTGCACACGATAGAAGTCGCCCTCGACCGCTCGCTCCCACACGTAGCCATTAGCATCCACCAGTGAGCCGGAGTCCAGGTTCTTTAGGTAATCGCAATTCGGAATGTCCTCCAAGTAGATGCCTAAATCCACGTCGTAGTCCCATGGAATTATATCCTGGTGTCGGGCTGCTCCCAACAAGGAACCCCCTTCCAGCCAGTAACGCACACCAGAGTTTTCCAAAATATTGATAACATACTTAGTGGTCTC